AGTATTTAAATTTCCACGTTAATCTTCAAGAGTTAACAGCTGAACAAGCATGACAGAATTGAGGGGCAGGACATCCCGTGATTACTGAGGATATGCTGGTAGGAACAGGTCCATACTCAGACCTAGTCCCAGTTAACCCTTCCAGGCCAGGCTTATCAGAAAATAGCTTTCGTGAGGAAACAAGCCTGGGCAACTGTGCCTGTGGAAGGTGTTCCCACTCAGTCCTTTCCATGCATTCTTCAGGGCTCATGGGAGCCTTACGCCCAGTTCTTAAGACAGGTTGCAAGAAGCTGTCTGATGATAGCACATGCCCGAGCAGCAGAGATTTTTGTGTAAACAAGCACTAGGGGCCATCCGAGCAACTAAAAGTCTTGGAAACTATTTATGCCAAGATGTGGGTAACAGAGATCATAAGTTCTTTTTTTTTGTTGTTATTGTCTTTTTGAGACAGGGTTTTGTTATGAAGCTCAGGGTGGCCTTGAGCTCACTTTGGAGCCCAGACTTGTCTCAAACTCACAACAATCCTCCTGCCTCAGCCTCCCAAGTGCTAGGACTACAGGTGTGCGCCACCACACCCGGAGCTAAGTCCTCTATGTTTGCTTAAGCTATGTTTGATTTAATTAAACAAAATCAGGATTCTTCAAAAATGTTTTGGCTGTGGCAAAACAGGGCATATCTGCAAATAGGGCACTCAACCCCAGGCAAGCTAGGGTGCAATTGTCCCTCTCTAGAGGAGAAAGCACTAAGCCCTTGTCCCAGACATCAAAAAGAAAATCATTGTCCTAATCAATGTTGCTTTAAATGTTAAGATGGCGGTCCCTGGGTGGGGCACAGGCTTACAGCTCCAAACCTCAGTGGGTCTCTGTGGGACAGCGGAGTCCCTTATTCCCAGAATCCCAGGAAGCAGAGGATTAGACCTTCCCACTGCTGAACATGTAGGTGATTTTCTTGGTAGAGATAAACCTGTTAAAACCCCACAGGGATCTGGGGACCTCTTCTCTTAGGCTCTTGGGTCTAAAGGAAAAGGATTAAAACTACAGGATGCTAAAGTACTCCGTGGGACTATTGATTCAGACTATAGAGTGAAATTCAGGTTGTGGTTCAGTCAGTTTAGGGTTGGATTTTGAACCAGGAGATCATATTGCTGATTTAACTGGCTGTCAGAATCAGTTATCAGGGGCCGGGGAGATGGCCCAGTGGAATGAGCGCTTCCCTGGCAAGCGCAAGGGCCTGAGTTCAATCCCCGGTTCCAAAAAAAAAAAGAATCAGTCATTAGCTGAAAAGCTAATGATTTAACAGGGTCCCCTCTCAACACCCCCCAAGGAGGTGTTCTTTACTCAACATATCACAGACTCATGTATACTCTTAAGATTAACGGAGAACAGGAAGGAGGTTTGTGCAAGTATTGCTTAGACAATTAAACACTAGTGTCTTATACTCTGAGTAACTAAAGATAACTATAGGCAATGTATTAACCATTGTTACCCTATCATCTCGTTTTGAATTTTTTTTTCTTTTAAAAAAATTTAAATATTGGAAGCCGGGGAGATAGCTCAGTAGAATAAGTGCTTCACTGGCAAGCACGAGGGTCTGAGTTCAATCCCCGGTTCCTAAAAAAAAAAAATATTAACTTCATTTAAAAAGATAACAATATGCTATATTAATCATTGTTACCCTCCTATTATCTTGTTTTGAAATTTTGGTTATTTTATCTCTTTAAAAAAATGATTAAAGGAAAATGTTTTGTGGGCTCATGGGAGCAGGTGCAGATGTTTTAGGGAAGGCTTCATCTCAGTGGCCACCTGGCTGGCCCACCCGAGCAGTTGCCATTTCCTTGGTGGAGCTTGGGTCACCCGGACAGATTATGCATGGTTTAGGGTTATTGCAAGGGGAACACCACAGTGCAGGACACACATTTTATAAGACTATTTACAATGGATCACCCAAAAACTCATATACAAAGAGTACAGGAAATCTGTCCACACACTAAAGACCAAAGACCCCAGCGGAGGGCCTGGAACTCACAGTAATGTCCTGAGTGAGCCCAGCTGAATACCTGGAGCTCATAACGATGCCTCCCACAAGTCCAACTGGAGGCCTAGAGCCCCTGATAATGTCTCATACAGGCCTTTTCATACACATCATATGGAGGATATATTGCTTGCTGTCAATTCTCAGCAACAATCTACCCTTCTTTTTGCAGAAACTAAACAGGCTTTAATACAACATGGATTATGCATAGCCCCAGAGAAAATTCAAACTATCTCTCCCTATAGTTACTTGGGAACTCTGACAACAGAAAAAGCAGCTCAAGCCCAGAAATTAACATTAAGAAGAGACTCATGACAAACATTAAATGATTTCCACAAATTACTGGATTCACCCAAAACTAGGAATACCTACAGATCAGTCAAGCGATCTATGTAAAACATAAGCAGAACCAGGTTTGAATTCTCCCCATACCCTCCCAGCTGAAGCCCTTAAAGAACTCCAAAAAGTAGAGGCTGCTTTGGCAAAGAACAGGTTTTGAATTAGTCCGACTGCCTCTTATGCTGATCACGCCTCCCACGCCTTACTCTCCCACTAAACTCCTTGGGCCCTTACCTCTTTAAACTTTCCAGAGCAATACATGCCATACTGTACAATCTTGCCCAGCATGCCAAACTTCACAGCAATTCCATCAGAGGGCTGTAATCCCAACGGCCTCCAGGGAGGAGCTACGGCTAATAGATGTAACACAGATATCCCAATTTGGCGACTTCATTTGTTAGTAAAGATACTTAACTCTCACTTTAAGTATACTATCTGCCAGGCAGGCAAGACTTCAGGACATATACAGCAACACTGTCTCACAGCATTTGCAAAAATGGGAGTCCCTAAAACAATAAAAACAGATAATGGCCCTGCTTATTCCAGTGAGAGCTTTCAAAGATTTTTACAACAATGGGATGCTAGTCATTCTACTGGAATTCCTTATAAATCACAAAAGCAAGCTATTGTTCAGCATGCCCATTTGACATTAAAATGGCAGTAACAAAAACAAAATGAGGGAATAATTCATAATAAGCCAGAACACTGTCTTGATCTTGCAATGTTTACACTTCAGTTTCTGAATCTTGTTGGTGATACAGATAGAATCCTGGTGAGAGGGCCGGTCAAATAGCTCAGCAGATTAAAGTGCCTGCAAGCAGGTGCAGGGGCCGGTCCCAGGTCTGCCACGCAATTGAGACTGGGCGTGGTGGCACATGCCTGTAATCCCAGCTCTTGGGAGGCTGCAAACAAGAGTATCACTATGAGTTTGATCTAGTAGTGAGACCCTGAACACCCTGTAGATCCTTCCCTAAAATACAGAAAAAAAAAAAAAAAAAAAGAATCCTGGTGAAATTACATTGGTTGTAAGTGCAAGAGCACGGAAAAAAAAAGGAGAAAGCACAAGTGTCATGGTGGTTGCCGGAAATGGGAGGAACCAGCTACCCTGTGGGCACTGGGGTGGTGATTTGCTTGTGTCACTGCAGGAGATGGACAGAATGTACGGGTGCCCTGTAGGAGCACATGACCAGGGAGGAACTGCCCCAGGAAGTGCCCATGGAGGAGCTTGACTCTGTTCTCCTCACCAGTGAGACCCTGCTTCCGGATGACAACTGAAGGAAACTACCCAGGAAGCAGGAGGACTTGTCCATTGTCAAGGCCTGCCAGGACAGCAGGCCATCTCACTGCTGTGGTATGAATCCTGAAGTCTAGTAAGGGCCTTTATCTAGGCCCCTGGGGAGCAGCTCTGCCTGCCAGTCACAACCATGTCACTCTTCAGCTGGAAGTCGCTGAACAGTTTTCACCCCTTGCCTCCCTGTGGCAGTTCAGAAGGGAAGCAACTAAGCTAGTTAGAAACATTACAGGCAGCCAGACAGGGCTAGGCCCACAGATACGTTACAACTGTAGATAAAGACACAATCACTAAAGGCCAGACCTCAAACCAAAGGTAGAATGACCACACTACAGACTCCCCTGTGAATGAGAAGCAGAGATTGATATACTCAGCTACTGCTGTTATAAAATCAAAAATGGGGAGAGGCAGGAGACCAGAAAATGAAGATTGAGGCCTAATATCTTCGCTGCGGATATGAAGAGGGAACCACAAGCTGTTCCCTCTTTGGTAAAGTAGCAGGCATGCTAGTGTGTTGTATTTTCCAGGGAAGAGTCACCCTAGCTGACATCCAGTTGTTTGCCTGGCCATATACTACAGATAAGAGGAGGCAGGCGAATTTCATGTCACTCTGACTGCTTGCTCCCATTTTTAAGCTAATAAAAATGAGGTGACAAGCTGGCCAGATAGCTCAGTAGCTTAAAGCGCCTATTTAGGCAGATGCAGGGACTGCGGTGTAAATCGAGGCATGCTGTATTGGCCCCACCCCCAGGGCACGCTGAGACTGTGATTGAGACTGGGAGCAGTGGCGCGTGCCTGCAATCCCAGCGTTTGGGAGGCTGAAAACTGGGGGATCACTACAAGTCTGATCTGTGTAGTGAGACCTTGTATTAAACACATTTTTTAAAAAAAGTGAGGTGAGCCAAATGCTCAGGGCTCCTTGTCAACCAGACAAAAGCCCCAGCCTCTCTTTGTAAATTAATTGCGTCTTTTCTCATCCTTGTTCAACCTCCAGTCAGGAACAAACTTGTAGGGTGGCTCCTACGCTACAGGAGCCTACATCCTGGTCAACCTTCCTAAGTATGAAAAGACAAAACACCTGATTATTTGCTTATATAAGACTCCTTATGGGAAAACTGATATACTTTACGTAATCAATTTCAACAGATATTTATTGAGCATCTATCAGGTACCTAGTGGTACTATTGTACTGAAAGTACAGCAATGACCAGAGGTGATTCTTACCTATATTGACAAAGTGAGCTTGAGAACAGAGCATACGATGGGACATATATATATATGTCCCACAGTACTGTGATCCTATGTAATTAATTTATAACTTAGTGCCCGCCCCCGCGGTCCCTGCCACCGCGTCGCCTGCGGGGTGGTTGTGGGGCTCCGGGAGGGCAGAGCTAGGCTCGCCCGCGAGGAGATGGTCGGGCTCTCGGTGCCCGCCGAGGTCACCGCGATCCTGCTGGATATCGAAGGGACCACGACGCCGATTGCTTTCGTGAAGGACATTTTATTTCCTTACATCAAAGAAAATGTGCAGGAATATCTGCAGACACACTGGGAAGAGGAGGAGTGTTGGCAGGACGTGAGCCTTCTGAGGAAGCAGGCTGAGGAAGCTGCCCACCTGGACGGTGCTGTTCCGATCCCCACGGCATTTGGGGATGGGGTGGATGACCTCCAGCAGACGATCCAGGCTGTGGTAGAGAATGTGCGCTGGCAGATGTCTCTGGACCGGAAGACCACAGCACTCAAACAGCTGCAGGGCCACATGTGGAGGGCAGCGTTCACAGCTGGACACGTGAAAGGAGAGTTCTTCGCAGATGCAGTGCCTGCAGTCAGGAAGCGGAAAGCAGCTGAATGAAGGTGTATGTCTATTCCTCAGGGAGCATCGAGGCCCAGAAACTTTTATTTGGGCATTCCACAGAGGGAGATATTCTTGAGCTTTTTGATGGTCACTTTGACACCAAGATTGGACACAAAGTGGAGAGTGAGAGCTACCGAAAGATTGCAGATAGCATTGGGTGCTCAACGAAAAACATCTTGTTTCTGACAGATATTACTTTAG